GGACCAAGGGTGACGTTGGGACAGAAAGTTAGAGGTCTGTTGCTGCCTGATATGCCGCTGACACAGAAACACCCAGTGCCGGCATTGCCCTCATTGATCCTGGTTTCAGTGGATGCCCCAGGGCTGGAACCAGAGTCAACAAGATGGTATCTTTGCCCTCCTTGCACAAGAGCAGTTGGGGAGCGGTTGATAGGACCTGCTCTGTCCCGTGCGCCAGCATTTGACCCATGCTGATCTGTGCTCCTTCTGGAGGAAGGAGACAAGTCCCCATGTGACCTGAAGCGCCTTCAGTCGGTCCTGTCAACCTTTTCCTCAAGGCACTCGACAGGGAATAACTCCTTTGGACAAGTTGCCAGCTCCAGGAAACAAAGTGGCAGCTCTCTCAGAACTCAAAGGTGACCTCCAATTTGACAAGGGCCTTGGTGCCAAAGCAGGCCACATGGCCTGTTAGAGCAAGTGCTGCTTCAGATGAAGATCCCTCACCACCCTCGTCCATTTGGTGAACAATCTGCAAATCAACCACCGCTCCTTGATGTGGGCTTCACCTAGACACAACAAGCACCAGCTGGGGGGATCATTATTGGTGATCGCTCCCCCACACGATGGAATGTTTGAACCCTGGCGAGGGCGTCACCAGGGAAATATTTAAACTACAGCTAACACTAAATCTAACTAACACTGCCCCAACTATATACAACTAGAAAAGTCACTAAAAATAGAGGTGAAAACCACACAGAACTCTGACTCCAGCCATGGGGCAGTAAGAAGGAACTGAGGGGGTCAGGGCAGAACCACCTCATATAGCCAGAGAAGGGGCTATGGCCACGAGGCGCAAGCATCGCCCTGCTACAGATACTACTAGGCAAAATGCTCTGGCTCGTGTGTTCTGGACACACACACACCTAAGCAGAATACATGGCTGCATCTAGTGAAGAAGTAATTCTCTGTTGCACCAACTTACTTCAACCTACAAAAGGACTTTGGTGCATGTATAAAGCATTAACTGAGCAACTCTAATTATTATAAATGGGAATTGTGCTGTTAATATTTTATGTCAAACTGAGAAAATAACCTATAAAAATCATTTTTTGTGTTTGCACAGCACCTGACTTCAGAACATAAGTATATTGGCTATCAAATCAATCCACCTGCAATCAGCGAAAAGGAGTCCAGAAATTATATCAAGTTATCAGAGGATATGGAAATATTTTAACACTTACTTTTTATACTTAATATTTTTTCAACTTTTACATCGTGGTAGTGCCTAGAGGCCAACCAGGTTGGGGATCCATTGGGTGAGGTCCTTTATAGCATAGTATAATAAATGACAGCAAAAGGAAGTTTCAATACAATCCCCCTGTTCAACTGGCCGCAGGGTGCTTTGGGAAGGGTTTTCAATGCCTCATGGGGCAGGCACAGCATCACACCATGCAGGTTTCCCAATCCCAATTCCATGGGCATCCTACTACATTGCCATCTGCTTTTCAATTTAAGTGGGGGAGGTGCAGGGGAGGGCAGAGTGTGTGACAGGGTGTGTGTGAGGAGGGGGGAAAGAGTGTGTTTCGTGGGACAGAGAGTGTCAGCATACTGTCTTGTAACTTCAGACAGTGGCAGGAAGCAATCAGCCCTGAGGCATGGGGAGTGGGAAACCCCGCCACCCACCCCAGCTCTCTGCACAGCAATCTCTCTGAAGGGGAAGGGTGCATGCCTTCAGGGCAGCCAGCTGAGTTCAAAACAATGAGCAGAGCGGACACTTGAGGGATTATGGGATACTTCCGGAGGCCAATTGATTGCTTTCTGCCCTGTAATGTGTTTACACTACTAATACAGCACGGAGCCTCTGGGCTGTAAGGCTTACGACTCTTGTCTAGGTGGTTTTTTTGCAATGCTGCAACTGAGGAGTTTCAGAGCACAAAGTGGCTTGGCAGTGTGTATACCTCAGGAGTTACACCACAGAAAGCTGCTTTACTGTGCAGTAACTTGCCAGCGTAGACAATTTCACAAGGAAGACCCTTTTGAGAAACATTTGGATCTGGTCCTAAGAAAACTCTACCAACTGAATAATTTCCACAGCCCACTGACTAAATGAGCCTCCAACTTCCAGTGTATGACAGCTGTGTAACACTGGTAAGATCAAAGACTCAAGGATGGTTTTAACCCATAGATGAATACATATAAGATACACCCATAACTATAGCTTGCCCAAGAAAAGGAAATAAAAGCACTTCTTGAACACTGACTTAATGGATTAATATAAACTTCACTTCCCATTATTTCCTTTGAATTGTTGATAACTACTCCTCCGCTCTTTTATCTGATACTCTGTCAGGCACCGGAAAAAGCAGCATAAGTGTTAAAATGCTACAAAGCAAGCTATTTACTCAATGGGGTGTTGAAATTACTCAATTTTGATGACACTTAAAATTCCTATTGGCATTTAAGAATAGCCTGGGAACTGGGTGCAGGCTACAAAGCAGCTTTTCTCTGCCTTAAAATCACTTATAATTTTCTGAGAACTGTTTTATAGTAACAAGGAAGGGGAAACAAACTGCAATTAAATGTTCTATTTATAATCCCTATTCACAAAATGTCTTTCCTCAAAATAGCTCAAGTGCTTTCCACTGAAAAATTATGAATAGAAACAAAAATAACAGTCCACATGAGTCATGTGGCTGAGAAGCAGAGACTTCACTATTCATGGCCCTTTGAATACTAGAATGAGAATGAACCATTATGGGACCAGGAAATGAGTCCCAATGCCTGGATGCCCAAAGTGTGTGATGCAGTTATAACTTAAGTCACAGACTTGTTATCCTTTTGGAGCCTGCGATAGATGGAGCTGTGTAAATAGTTTGTTCTCTCTGCTTTGCACTTTTACATTTTTTGGGAGTCTTCTTACCTGCAGGCGTAGCTACCATTTTGTGAGGCGTAGTAAATATTGCATATTACGAAGGAGGCAGAATGTTAGCCTATGGAGACATTTATTCTTGTGTCTCCTTCAGTCTAAAATATGTCACGCTGAAGCATATTCTGTTTATGGAAAACATAACTTTAAAAAAAAAACCAGGGTCAATGGTCACTATTAGGTCCTCTGCCCCCCGCCCCAGACTCCTCTTTAAATCATCTTGAGACAGGGGATAAGGTGATATTATAGTTCTTTTATAATTATGCTGCTCGCTTCCTTTATAGCTCAGTGATTTGAAGGCATTACACAAAATGAGCTGCAGTGAGTAGTGTGACCACTGTACTTGACTTGATTCCAGCAAAGGTTCTCCACTTTTCACTGTGTGGACTACTTTGTAGGAGACAAAGCATCTCTCCTCCTTCCCAATCTTCACCTGCACTGCTTGGTCTTTAACATTTTTGAATTCTGCAGACCTGCAGGGAGGTGTCCCCAGACTATAGACAAATGCTTGAGGAAGGAAAAGGTTAGAATTAATTCAGGTAGCAAAGTTGGAGGTAAGATATGTCATAAGTTTAAAAGGAAGTGAGCAAATGAAATAGGTGAACCTAAGTGATAACCATACCTTTCTTTCATATAATGGAGCTAAAGATAAACCAAGAAAATTATTTCAATTTTTTCTCCAGAAATTCTATGAAGCTCCCTGGTTTGTCAGGTGTAGTAAGAGCCTGGAAATCCAGTTACACTATGGATAGTACCTTACAATTTCATAGATTCATAGATTCATAGATATTAAGGTCAGAAGGGACCATTATGATCATCTAGTCTGACCTCCTGTACAACACAGGCCACAGAATCTCACCCACCCACTCCTGCGATAAACCTCTCACCTATGTCTGAGCTATTGAAGTCCTCAAATCATGGTTTAAGGACTTCAAGGAGCAGAGAATCCTCCAGCAAGTGACCTGTGCCCCATGCTACAGAGGAAGGCGAAAAACCCCCAGGGCCTCTTCCAATCTGCCCTGGAGGAAAATTCCTTCCCGACCCCAAATATGGCGATCAGCTGAACCCTGAGCATGTGGGTAAGATTCACCAGCGAGATACCCAGGAAAGAATTCTCTGTAGTAACTCAGATCCCACCCCATCTAACGTCCCATCACAGGCGATGGGGCCTATTTACCATGAATAGTTAAAGATCAATTAATTGCCAAAATCATGTTATCCCATCATGCCATCTCTTCCATAAACTTAGCGAGTTTAATCTTGAAGCCAGATAGGTCTTTTGCCCCCACTGCTTCCCTTGGAAGGCTATTCCAGAACTTCACTCCTCTGATGGTTAGAAATTATTTGGTGCTGTTTTCTCCTGACAAATCCAAAAGTGCTTTTTACAGACAGACAGAGAGAGAATGAGATCAGTTTATTCCCCTCCCCTATAAGACAGAATAGGAAAATACACAAGCTTTGGAAGTTTTAGGTCTAGAAACAAGGATAGGTTCTCTAACTGAATGCACTGGGGAATTTAAGTGAGCTACTACACTGGAATTTGACCAGGAACAGGACTTGCCACCTGCTTCCACTGAAAGGTGCTGAGCTTTTAATGAGCCTAGGTGGGGAGACTTTGGCATGTATTTAAGCCTCATATTAATCCTGCAAATACTGAGTTTAATGCTTATTGCCATGAACAGTCCCAGTTACAATGCTGGCCACACTATGTCAAGACTTTTAAGCATAGTCTTTATTACCATGAATAGCCCCACTCAGAGAGCTGCTCCACAATGCTAGAGCTACTCAGTGTTTTCTGGATTGCACCTTACATTTTGAAGCATTATACCAAACTCCCTCTTTTGCGCTGAGAAACTACACTGGATAACCAAATTCTCCAGGCAACTGGAGTAGCTTTGTTAAGGTGGCTGGATTTACACCAATGTAAAACTAGTGCACTAGGGGAATCATGAAATAAAAGGGTACAGGTAATTTCTATCCATTTTAGGTAACGTAAACCAAGTGTGTGTAAAATATTAAAATATCAACAATTTGATGTTGTTTCAAGCTCTTCCTTGTATAAACTTGACTGAGTTATCTTTTTGCTACCTTGCAGTCTTACTGTTAGGAATCAAGATGAAGAGAGAGCAAGGAGGACTTCCCATGAACTCAGAGCAGAGAGTATTCCAAACTGTGAGGAAAGGTATCCTTTCTTTCTTTGAGCATTTATATATGTAACAGCTAAATCTGCAAGACAAATGGTTTGAAATGCACAAATGACTCCCCTGCTGCCATCCATGCACCTTCTGTTTAAATTCAATTCTCAGCCATCTCTAGCTGAATGTTACTAACATTCTCACTCTAACCTTTCATTAATTCATGGCCTGATCCAAAGCCCATTCTTTAAAAAAATTCTATATCGGGATAGCTTACACTGTATGGTGGTACAATAGCAACAACATAGTAAAGACGGAATCTCCCATTCTCCTACAAGTCTAATTTTTTCCTCCCTTATTTCCATAACTTTTATGAAAAACTTAACCAACCCAATTGGTAGTACCCAGCTTTAAATAAGGAGGAATAAACAAGGGAGAATATAGATCCTATCACTAGTCAGGCAACTAATTAACTTTTACTATCCTTTCCTGGGTGCTCAGATGCTATGATAAGGGCCTATACAAACCAGCACAGGAGAGTAGCTTTGATGGTAACAGCTATAAATGTATTAATGTCTTGGCCTTCACTGTATGCATATTTCTACCATAACGGTGACACTGACTAACCAAAAAGACAACTGTGCATTTGAAACCTAGAAAACATGTTCAGGGGTTGCATAAAGGTTTTTTGTTGTACGTTAACTTCACGCATTTCTTTAAAATAAAGCTAGTGTAAGTCATCAGAACATTTGATCACATTTTATCTTCCACAATCCTCTGATCCTTAAGTTTACTAGAGCTTCACAGCAGGGTGATAATATTGAGTATCAGTTAACAGTTCAACCTACCATGCATTAGACTCATGTAAAGCTCACTTTTTTCTTTCAGTGAGAGCAAATGCCTTGTCTAGTGACTGAATGTTGAGTAACTAGCATCAATATCTCCTTTTCCATTCTCTCATTCAAGTCCCACTCCTACTCTTGAAGAAGTAAATGCCTGGGCTCAGTCATTTGACAAGTTAATGATCACTCCAGCGGGCAGAAATGCTTTCCGGGAGTTCCTCCGAACAGAATTCAGTGAAGAGAACATGCTTTTCTGGATGGCCTGTGAGGAGTTAAAGCAGGAATCCAACAAGAGTGTCATAGAAGAAAAAGCAAGGTTAATCTATGAAGATTATATTTCTATCCTTTCTCCAAAAGAGGTGTGTGTCCCTCCACAGCTCATTCTTTAATTCTGCATTGCACAGTGGGTTGTAACATAAATAAAGACAAAGACAGCTAAACCAAGGGATACAGGTCTTATGACATTCATTGCTAATAATTAGGCTTGGCAGAATTTGATTTTTGTTTATAACTGAGATAATATCTATTTTAAACTTAATTTTTCTTTACATTTTCACATTTATGCAACATTATGGGTTTTAAGCATTTTTTCAATTTTTATCCATTTACAATTTCACAGTTGCAGGAAATTATGTCAGGGTCAGACAATTATTTAATGATGGAAGACCCTGGGGTTCAAAAAGCTAAAGCTTTAGAACTATTAAAATACACAGTGTCAACATACACATCAAAATAGACAAAGTACATTTCCTTAAATGACAGATTTCAGAGTAGCAGCCGTGTTAGTCTGTATTCGCAAAAAGAAAAGGAGTACTTGTGGCACCTTAGAGACTAACCAATTTATTTGAGCATAAGCTTTCGTGAGCTACAGCTCACTTCATTCCCCACTGTATTTTCCCACTGAATGCATCCGATGAAGTGAGCTGTAGCTCACGAAAGCTTATGCTCAAATAATTTCCTTAAATACAACTCTAAATTGTCAAGCAGCATTTTTCTTACTTTGCCTATCTGTAAATTTAGATCATCAGATGGAAATTTTGGTTTGTGTGAACAGTGAAATTGATGCTTATCTACATTTACTGATAAAAATCTAATCCTTCCAAGCCTACCTATAATGGAGACTTAGAAAGTGAAGGCATCAGGGTGCCATGGTTGAAACTATCCTCCATCTTTCCAGTTAACAGACAAAGAAGCAGAAGTAGTATTATAAAGCACGGATGTTAGACACCTGTAATTCTTAGGCATAATAGGGCAAAGAGCATTGTCCTTGCTTAAATAACCAAACAAGCTAGGTTTTTAATCTTAGCAGTAAAAAAAGAAATGGGAGACCTTAAAATGTTTAAAACCTTTCGCTGTAATTTGCTATGAAATATAAAGGAATTGCTCAAATATAATCTGTTTTAAGAACTACTGCTATACAGCAAAAATTAACAAAGCTATCTACCAGTCTGATATTGGCAAATATTTCATACACTGAACATTACACTACAACAAGGTTGAGTTTGTTTGTTTAGTTGGTTTCTTGTTATAAAGGACTATAAACTCAAATATCAGTCAAAAGCTTATTAGCCACAGTGGTGGAAAAAGCACTACTTGTGTACAGACACAAGCACTACTGAAATCTAGTAGCTGTTAACACAATATCTTTGAGATTGCCACCTCACTGAAATTTAACTTTTCACAATATTGCTCACATATGGAACCATTATACAACTATTTGCAATTCATGTCTAATTCTGCCTGCTCTTTAGTAAAGGGATTTGCTTAAACATTTCTACAGGTTGCAGCTTCCTTCTGGTTAATTCTGCTGCTATGAATTCAGCCTCAGACAACACTTATTCCCAAGAAAACAAAAGCGAGTCACACAAAATTAAAAATTCACTGCACTATGAAGCAGAAAGAGCAAAAATTCCAGCTGTATCATCAGAATTTAGCACAAATATGATTTCAGACTGTATGGTTTAAAGTAAGGCTGTCTTTGAGAGAGGATTCCACTACTCAAGGAGATAATTGCATCCGAAGTTGGAAGTGATAATTCTCTCTGCCTGTGTATATCTGAGACCCTTTACACTTTGTTTGAGGGGTGAAGATTGAAATGAAAAACCAAAAAATCCACTTTTTTAAGTGGGTAGAGCTGGAAAAGTGTGCACGCTATTACCAATGTCAACGAATGCTTTTTTAATACACAGGTCAGCCTGGACTCCAGAGTAAGGGAAGTTATCAACCGAAATATGCTGGAACCATCACAACATACTTTTGATGATGCACAGCTCCAGATTTACACCTTAATGCATAGAGACTCCTACCCACGGTTTATGAACTCTGCTATTTATAAGGATTTGCTTCAGTCCTTATCTGAGAAATCCATCAAAGCATAGTATTTTTTATTAATGTATTTATTTTAAAAAAGCAGAAATGGAACTCTGGGCTACATCAACCAACAGGGAATTTAGAGTTAATAGGATATCTACCTGAAAATAACTCAGGCATATTTTAATATGGACTGTCAATGTTTTAACCTGCAGAGGGCTCTGACACCACAAGCTAACTGCAGCCTCTGATCAACTTAAGTGACACTTTGCAAAGGAGAATGTGGAGATAGTTAGATGTTAAAAAAGTCATATTTTTACAATAGCAGAATGTAGTTGGACATGAACTTATAGGAGAAGTTAAAGTTACCACTCTGGAAAGAAAGAACTCTCCAATTTATTTTTTTAAACAGTTAGTTATGACTGCTCTCACCCCTCCCTCCCCCGCCCCCCATTGTGCAGCCACAGTAGAAATAGTTGTGCTGTTGCTACTTGGGCTACACTAGACTGAAGCCTCACATTTTCTAATAGTACAGCCTGGCCACTACGGACGAAGTAGAGATAGCGCTTGTCTTGGAGTGGCTACCTGATACATATAAGCAATGTGCTCATGGCAATGAAATAGAACCACCTCAAGTTTATGGAAGCTAGTGGGCTGGAATAATACTGCCTATAAAATTCTCTTATTGAGAAGTGTTATTGTACTATCAGAGTCTGCTGAAAACATTAAGTTCATACTGTTCATGTTTATAAAAGCTGAAGAATTTTGGAGACGGAAGCTTCTGGGCATTTATAATTGTAAATAAAGCACAAGAATTCTCATGTGTTGTTCTCTTCACTGCAAAGGCAGATGCAAATAATGGTAATTAATATTTCAGTATTTAGTCCCTAGAGCTCTGCAGTAGCAGCCATTTGATGTGTTCACAGACATTGAAAATCCTAAATTACAGGCCAGATTGTTTGGGGGTTGCTTACTTCAGAGGTGATATTCATATACTTCATACAAAAGCAAGTTAAAACAAGCTTCCAGGGATATGGCATTGATTCAGGCTCAGAAAGTCTCAAAGCAAAGCAGTATTCTTCCACAAGCTTCCTACATGCATTTCTGGTATTCCTAATATATTGCACTTGTATGTGCAGACTAGTGCTTTTTGCCAAGCATCATACCTATTACCATATGGCATTTCAGTACGCCCCCAAATTAGTTATCATAGCTAAAGCTAGGAAGAAGTTAAAACAAATTTCCTTTAAGTACCAATTTATAGATCCATTTTTACGGAGTTGCTTAATCTATAGTAATTAAGCCAAAATACACTGTAGTTTAATGTAATTCCACTACATACATTTTAGTTTACTGTAGAATTCCCTTCAGTGATAGTTTCCTATGTATTGATTTGAATGAATGCAGACAGATATGAAGCAGAAGGGTGGTGAGTGAAAAATCACCTCTTTAAAAGGGATTCATACAGGTAGTTTTGCATTGCTTTTTCTATGAAAGCTATTGTATTCTTTCTCCAGCCTATCAGCAGTTCTCCCATCTGGGCACTATGATACAAACAACGCCTTCTCACTGGGGGAAAATTCAGGCATGTGCTAATTTCCTTGCTTGTTCAATGCACCATGCAGGAGATATGTTTTGCTCTTTCAGTGTTAATCCCATTAAAAATGAGTTTTGCTGCTACTCAGTAGCGAGGGAGAAGACCTGATATAAGGTAAGTTGTAAGCAACAGCTGTGGCTAAATAGTTTCCATCATCTATTTCTATAAAAAACACAACGTTTAGCATGTCAGTTTGAAAAAAAATGATTTAAGCAACATTTAACAAGTAACTGCAAAACAGTGCTGCCAGCTGACTCAGTTAAAAAGAAAAGAACTCTTTTAGGTCACTGGTTAAAATCTGGTCCAAGTCAAAATCTGGTGACTGCCAGTTGTTACTAAAATACATTTGGCAGCTGGTTATGTCAAATTAGAGATCTCAGTCCAGTTCATTGACATATCCAGAGCACAAGACAACAGTCACATTAATAGTTTCAGTTTACACTGCATATTAACTGGCATGCTGGCTAGTAGTCTCAGCGCTTGCCAAAGATCAAAATAGGCATGTTGGTGAGGTAGCACTAGGAGAACTTGGACTATCAGTGACTATGCTGTACTTATGTATTAATTTGGTTGTGTCAGGCCTTTGAGAAGCACCAAGCTGACAAAAGAAGTTAAACTAGATCACTTTCAGCTTGCTAGAGAGATCAGATATATTCATCAGAAAGGTTCAAAACTGTGTATTTCACTTGGACAATTAAGCTAGACTGGTCAGTTTCCTGGGAAATTAAAAGTTAATGGAAACTTTCCATTCGTTTCAGGTGTGATTAAAACACACCCTCCTGTCGCATTTCTTCATTTTAACTGAATTTTATATATGATTAGATAAGATTAATTAAATCACACATAAAAGACAGCTTATTCCCTGTATTTTGTTTCACTATTCATAACTATGCATAAACTCATCTCTAGTGAAATATACTAACCTTTTCCAAGGGCCAAGTTTTGGTCCCATTGAATTAGGACATACTAATTAGATTGTTATAGTAGGCAATAATTGTTTCAGAAATAACAGGACAAAGTATATCTATATCTACACAAGTTATATAGAACAAATGAAGTCAAAACCATTATCACAGGATCAATATATCCTGGCTTGAAAGTAAACATTGCTGGTTTGCATTGGCATTTATCTAGCAGCAGGACATCATTAAGCTGCACTAACCTTCTATTCCACTGGTACTAGCTTTTAAATGTCTGCACTTTATATACCAATAACTCCCACAAAACATTCATACTGTTAGAGTGTTCTTTTCATGAACCTGCTAAGCAATATTAAAATTGCATGGACCCCTTCAGCCAACACATCAATTGATGCTATCCACATTGTGCTTTAGACTGAACTTTAAATTCCAAATTCATTAGTACAATCTAATGAAGTACAATATAGCAAATGTCTGTAGGTTACACATTTTAAATCACATAAAAAATTGTTCCAGTAGCATGGTATATCTAAGTGTCCTTTCTAATAAGAGAGGGCACTTTGATACACAAAGAATGACCATTAATATGAAATTTAAAAACTAATAATTCACCCTGAGAAATTGTGTTTAACTTCTTCACCTAAAGACACAGCCAAGTTTTAAACTATTAGTGAGCATCAGTATCAAACTTGTTAAAGAGAACATTTTTTATACTAACACACACTACAATAACTTTATGGGGACTGGATGATTCAATTTAATTCAGAAACCTATCTCGGTCCTTAACTTGTCCCATTGTGGTCAATGGGAGTTTTGCCCAAGTAGCTGCAGGATCTAGTCCCAGAAACTGTTACTACCTACTGGCTGTGGCTTTAGATGAAGAATATCTCATTCCAGTTCTTACAAGAGTCTGAACTGTGATACTGGCTTTAGTGATTTGCGGATTTCCTGTGGGAAGTTTCACAAAACTGAGCATGCATGGAAAGTGAATTATTATTGTATCTTCTTATCAAGGGACGCTATCCTTTCATGTAAGGGTAGAGATAGGTTGAGTGCAGACAGAACATGAGGAACTTCGTACACACGATGCTGTGCCTGTTCTGTAACTAACTGAGATTTCCACTGCTGTCAAAGTCCAGCTGGCACCCAAGTCACAAGGACTACATTTGCTTAATACAATTTGTTAGACTTGTCCTTTCAGAAGTGCCCAAAAACAAAGGACAGACACACGGACACTAAAGATCTATAATTAAAGTCATTTTGTTGTTGTATAAGGCAACTTAAAAGATTTCAAGATATTTTCAAAGATACATAAATAAAACAGTCCTGCTAAGTTTTCATTGTAGATTATTCTGTTCACTTTTCAAGTCAGTTTAATTTTAAAAATATCTTTCTGAATTAGAGCAGAAATATCAAGCAAGCAGAATCCAAATTCTTTCCATAAAATTATGCAATAACCTTTGAAACATTTGAATAATTTCCTCCGTTTTTTTAAAAGCAGATGTGTCTATAACAAACTAAATTCTTAGCCACGTTTATTTTCCCTTCCACAAGGATAGACTATTTTTCTTTTTCAACAGGAAAGAGCTTGATTTGTAATGTAAGATTAAAGTATTTAACAAACTCTTTTTTGGGTCTCACAGCTTAAGTGTTTTCAGAATTTAACGCTGCCTCATTTGAAACCATGTCTCCACCATTACAGAGCAAATCAGCAAAAGAAAAATTCTGCCTGCCCAGTCCAGTTAAGGAGTTTATTCTCCAGAAACTAAATGGATTTACATACTGCAACTACCCACAAATTCCACACGCACTGATTGGACAGACCTTCCCCACCCCAGAGCTTAAATAAATATAAATATAGAGGTTGTCAAAACATAAGAATCTTATGTCCTCTAACCACGCTGGCTCTTTGCTAAATAGCATTTGCAAAGTGTTTTAAAGGGTGCACTGTCAAAAACCAGATTCTAATAAAACAAATCTTTCTATCATCCTGGATGGTGAAAGACCATAACTTTAATGATTTATTCTGGTCTCTGGTTTGATCACTGGCATCAATGATTCTAAATATCAAAATAAAGTTCATTAGCAGTTCACAGGGAACTAATGCCATTTATATGAATTGATGTAAAGTAATATTACTTCCCCAACCAGTTTATCCTTTTATCAACTAGTTTACTGACTGCCATTTAAACAGCCTGCCACAAAATGTCTTTGCTCATTTACAAAGTCTAAAATAAACTCTGGTATCAAACACATAAGCAAAACAAACCAATTAGATCAAATTTAAACAAACTATTTAAGTCATTTCTCCAGAAATAAAATCTAGTGGTAGTAATATACAGGCTTTAGGGCAGTACAATAAATTGGACTGATCAATGCTGGTTACATAAGCAAATTTATCCAAGCATTGTAACAGAAGAGGTCAATAGATCCATTAACAAAGTTCCAAACTTCATTATCTGAATTTAAGCATTAATTCATAAATGGTATGTACAAACCAGACAGAGCCAACAAGTTGCAATTTAGATACCACAGCAGATTTGGTATAATTAAAATGAAGTTAGTTGTCCTTCCTCCCCACAAAATTAGTGGGAATATGCTGGTGAGAAACAAACACAAATTTCATTCACACATTTTTACCTCTCAATTTACCTCTCAAAATATTTTACCTCTCAATTTTTAACATAATTGAGAGGTAAAATATGTCTGGTGGGTATGGTTCAGACTGTAAAAAAATATACAGTACGTTGTTCACACAGTTAAGAAAACAATTCAGTTACCAAAAGTTTATTGATAAAAGTTTAATGTCAACTTACTTATAAAAATGAAAAAATATTTTAAACATACACCGTACAATTGAGCATCTGGGCCCTACTGACTATTAACTATAGGAAAGCATTTAAGGAAGTTGTGTCAAAAACCAAAGGTTAAACTCCAGGGATGTATTCTGCTTAAAAAAAAAAAAAAAATGTTTCTTGTTTGCAGGAACCTACATGCCTGGCCTAGTTCTTAAAGCTAATTACAAAATCCTCTTTCTGGTCCTGGTGTCTTGACAGTTGTTTCTTCTAACAGAACTGTCAAAAGAAAAGAAATATTTTATGAGGTATCTGCATACAGCTTATTTCTAGTTCTTTGCAAGAAAGAAGGGAAGACGGCATTGCTCTAGAATGTGGTAATTTGCTTACAGTCACAGCATTTGCTTACATTCAAGAATCTCTACAGGGATTGAAAAATCTTTTTCTGTTCACTTGCCCACAGTGAGTGCAGAAAAAAGTGTATTTGGTCCTGAAGCCATTTGTATTGGTATGAAATAATTTCTAGATGTGGCAAGTTATTAAATACCTTTAAGTGTAGGTTTGACCTAACATTAAATAAAAGGGAAAAAATACATGTTAAGTTTATAAAACTTCAAAAAGGGGCACAAAACAAAGGAAGCTTTTCCCTGGCATTTTTCCCAATTTTCTTCTGCTGACATTTTTAGCAGGGAAACAATATACACTTCTGGGGTGGTACAACAGCCTAACAGGGTGAAGAAAATATAAGAATTAAGGGAAAAGCAGAAGTCTAATATTCACAATTCACTGTACAATGGCCCAATTAAGTAAAGAAAGATCTTTTTTCCTCCTAATTATAGTATTGTCTTCACTACACTGGGTCATTGTAGCTCACCAGAAACTTTTGAAATAAGCTTCCAAAATACAATAATTTGTGTAAGTCAATTCCAGGGCTCTCTCACAACCCTTCCCCCATTACCCACCAGCGATCTGGCAGTAGCAGGCCCTCTTGCCCTCTCCATTGAAAGGGAGAAGAAGCTGAAAGGTGATCAAGTCTCTTTACAGGAATGCAAATAAAGGGATCTCCTGGCTGTGTCTCTCCTATTCCTCTTTCAGCAGCTCCATCTGCTGCTAGGAAGTTGGGGAGCTTTGCAACACTCCCCATTGGTGAGCACCAGCTCCTCCGACTGTTCCCCTTTCATATCCATCTGCTTAGCGTACTTTTACGGCCCTCGTGACTGTAGTATCTGGCTGCCTCACAATCTTTAATGAATTTATCTTCACAACACCTCTTGTGAGGTAGGGAAGTGCTGTTATCTCCATTTTGCAGAAGGGGAACTGAAGCACAGAGAGACTAAGTGACTTGCCAAAGATCACACAGGAAGTCTGTGGCAGAGGAAAGTATTGAACCTTGGTCTCCAGAGACCCAAGATAATGCCCTAAGCTCTGGACCATTTTTTTTCTTGCATTACCTCGTGCAAGCCCTCATGTGGCCAGCCAAGGAAGAGGGGAAATCCTATGGGTATGGGACTCCCACAAGCCATTTAGAGGATACTAGGCAGAGGAAAAGGAGCTGTGCTCCCCAACACTCTCCACTCCTACAGATCAACTTTAGTTTTGCAATTTTGTAGTCAGTGTGGATCTCTAAGTGACCATGTGTCTCATGTACATAAGACTAGAGTTTTTTTGAATAGCAGTGTCCATCAGGGCCATGTATGCACTCTTGGCTTCCCTGGGCTCTTATGAGGGCTGTCAAGGTTCCTTCCCCACTCTGAACTCTAGGGTACAGATGTGGGGACCTGCATGAAAGACCCTCTAAGCTTATTCTTAGCAAATTAGGTTAAAAACTTCCCCAAGGTACAAACTTTGCCTTGTCCTTGAACCGTATGCCACCACCAAGCGTCTTACACAAAGACCAGGGAAAGAGCCCACTTAGAGACATCTTCCCCCAAAATATCCCCCCAAGCCCTACACCCCCTTTTCTGGGGAAGGCTTAATAAGAATCCTCACCAATTTGTACAGGTGAACACAGACCCAAACCCTTGGATCTTAAGAACAATGAAAAATCAATCAGGTTCTTAAAAGAAGAATTTTAATTAAAGAAATGGTAAAAGAATCACCTCTGTAAAATCAGGATGGTAAATACCTTACAGGGTAATTAGATTCAAAACATAGAGAATCCCTCTAGGCAAAACCTTAAGTTACAAAAAGACACAACAACAGGAATATACATTCCCTCCAGCACAGCTTATTTTACCAGCCATTAAACAAAAGGAAATCTAACGCATTTCTAGCTAGATTACTTACTGACAGTTGTAAAGCTGCATTCCTGATCTGTTCCCGGCAAAAGCATCACACAAACAGACCAACCATTTGTTCCCCCCCTCCAGATTTGAAAGTATCTTGTCTCCTCATTGGTCATTTTGGTCAGGTGCCAGCGAGGTTATCCTAGCTTCTTAACCCTTTACACGTGAAAGCGTTTTGCCTGTGGCCAGGAGGGATTTTATAGCACTGTATACAGAAAGGTGGTTACCTTCCCTTTATATTTATGACAAGGGCATAGAGAACAGGGAGGCCGTGACCCTTCTTCATTCCCCTCACAATTCAAAGTTTGTGTAGCTGAGGACTCTGAAAAATTGGTGATAAAGGGTGGGATGTGGGATCCACATTGGCTACAGCAGAGGTGGCCAACCTGTGGCTCCGGAGCCACATGTAGCTCTTCAGAAGTTAATATGCAGCTCCTGGTATAGGCACTGACTCCAGGGCTGGAGCTATAGGTGCCAACTTTCCAATGTGCAAGGGGGTGCTCACTGCTCAACCCCTGGCTCTGCCACAGGCCCTGCCCCCCACTCCACTCCACCCCTCCCCGCCCCCTCCCCTGAGCCTGCCATGCCCTCGCTCCTCCCCTCTCCCTCCCCAGAGCCTCCTGCATGCCATGAAACAGCTGATCGGGAGGTGCAGGGATGGAGGAGGTGCCAATCGGCAGGGCTGTTGGTGGGTGCTGGGGGGTGGGGAGAGAGCTAATGAGGGGCTGCTGACACATTACTGTGGCTCTTTGGCAATGTACATTGGTAAATTCTGGCTCCTTCTCAGGCTCAGTTTGGCCACCCCTGGGCTACAACTTCTTAAAGAACTACACAGTTACTATAGGGTCAGTAAACCTGCTTTCTTCTTTGAGTATATTTCTTCTTTGAGTTGATCCCACTGTAGGTGACTGGGAGCAGTATCTTCTCCAGATTTTGCAAGTGAAGAATCTCGGCTGTATCAGTGAAACAGGGATTGGAGTACTGCTGTTCTGAACTTGGAATCTGCCCTGGCAGCCATGTCAAGTGCATAGTGTTTCAAAAACGGTCAGCGGGCTTGCTCCACAAGGCTGTCTGACAGATCTCAGAGATCAGTATATTTCTGAAGCAGGCCAGAGACATTGGTTGGATCTTAATGGAGTATGCATTTATGTTCAGAGGGCAAGGCTTGCCAACCAACTGATTACAGACAAATAAATTGGGTAATCCACCTTGAGATTCTCATAGAAGAGATGGCTTGGCCTTTTGACATGCTGGATATGACCACAAAGATTCTGACAGGCTTGGTCCTGTTGATTTAATAAAGCAGAACCCTAGACACATCCAGAGTATAAAGGGCGTATAAGGCAGTTTAGTCATGACAGCCTGCATTTGGCGGACTCTAGACACTGATGTGATGGCTACAAGAAAGACCAACTTCATGCCTAGATGGTACAACAATTCAAATGAGAAATGGTCTAAGAGCGATAAGTAGGGCCCTACCAAATTCATGGTCAATTTTCATCAATTTCACAGTCATAGGATTTTAAAGATCAAAAATTTCATGATTTCAGCTATTTAAATCTGAAATTTCTCGGTGTTGTAATTGTAGGGGTCCTGACCCAAAAAGGGTGTGTGTGTGTGTGTGTGTGTGTGTGTGTGTGTGTGTGGTGGGGGAGGGGGGGTTGCAAGGTTATAGTGGTACAGCTACCCTTACTTCTGCACTGCTGCTGGCAGCGGTGCTGCCTTCAGAGCTGGGCAGCTGGAGAGCGGCGGTGGCTGGCCGGGAGCCCAGCTCTGAAGGCAGAAGCAGCGCAGAAGTCAAGATGGCATAGTATGGTATGGCCACCCTTACTTCTGTGCTGTTGCCTGCAGAGCTGAGCCCTCAGGCAGCAACCGCCACTCTTCGGCTGCCCAGTTCTGAAGGCATCAGCGCAGAAGTAAGGGTGGAATGGTACAGCGTTGCCACCCTTACGTCTGCGCTGGTGCTGGTGGGGCAGTGCCTTCAGAACTGGGCACCCGGCCAGCAGCTGCTGCTGCTCTCCAGTCACTCAGCTCTGAAGGCAGTGCAGAAGTATGGGTGGCAACATTGTGACCCCCCCCTAAAATAACCCTGTGACCACCCTGAAACTTCCTTTTGGGTTAGGACCCCTAATTTGAAAAACACTGGTCTCCCCTACGAAATCTGTATAGTATAGGGTAAAAGCACACAAAACACCAGATTTCATGGGGGGAGACCAGATTTCATGGTCCATGATGTGTTTTTCATGGCTGTGTATTTGGTAGGGCCCAAGCTATAAGAGAACCTCATTAAGCTTCCACATGGGAGCAGGGTCTCTAACTGGAGGGCAAGTATGGAGAAGGTTCTTGAGAGATCTCAATCCCAAAGGATGTGAAAACACCAAGTGTGCCTGCATCTGAGTGCAGCACACAAATATTGCTACAAGATGGACTTTGAAGGCACTACTGGCTAGCCCTGCTTTCTTCAGGAGGAGCACTTAGGCCAGAATCCTTGGTCTTAAGGCCTCAACTGCCTTAAGCTGCCCATAAGAAAAACCTTTTCCACATCAAGGAGTAAGTCTTCCTGTTGGAGAGTTTCTGACTCTGTAAAAGGAACTCTCGGGCCTGCAGGAAGCAGTCTGTCAGTCCTTTTTCAAACAGCCTACATCCAGACCATCAGATGCAGTGACTGTGGGTTTAAGTTTGACCCTGGTTCTGTGATAGCATGTCCAAACCCATGGGAAGATGTGTATGTTGCGTGGGGGAAGGGAAAAGGAGCGGGGGAGTGGCTGACTGGACATCTGCAGATCAGATGGCCAAAACTGCCTTGTCCAGTAGGTACATGAATGTAGCTTTATCTTGCCTAATCTGGACATGATCCTGGGGATTGGTGCAAAGACATGCAAAAGTCCTTGAGACCCACCAAGCAGAAAGGTGTCCAGATGGGACCCGGAGTCTGTACCTCTACTGGAGCAGACATCCTCACACTTAACACCGTCTGCTATGCCAAACAGATGAGAATACCACACTGGTGAAATATTGGGTCTAGGATGGATTTCCAATGACCACTTGTGATTGGTTACCATCTTCCTGCTTAAAAAAGTCTACCAGGTTGTTCCTGACCGCAAGGAGGCATTTAGCTATTGGAGTCACTTGGTGGTGATGGCACCATTCCCAGGTCTTAACCACCTCTAGGCAGAGTGGGGATGATCAAGCATCTCAATCTCCAAAGCGTCCATGACCTGCACCCAGCTCTCGAAAGGTCTTGAAGTTGTCCAGTGCCTGTATCAGCAGCAAAGCTACTGTCTTTCCCGGGACAAAGATAAGGCACCTTTAGATAGCAAAAGGGGTCATTTGGCCTCCTGCTGTCGTGTCTCTCTGCATTCCAGTGACCAAGGTCTTGCTAGTGAAGCTGCAAGAGAAAGGCTCCTCCTCCTTCTTCTGCAAAGACAGTAACTGACTCCTATAGGCCTAGAAGGTGGGCCCCAAAAGCCCCAGTAAGGCCACAGTAATATTCTGTATTCAGCACAGAGGGCTGGCTAGTTGTTGGCTGTACTAGTGCCGATCCCAGCGTGCCTGTTATTGGGGTCTGTAGAGATTCTCTGGTTTCTAAATGGTGATACTGCTCATAGACCTCAGCAACAAATTGTTTCTGCCAGATGTCAGAGAAAAGGCAAGGTCTGGGGATGTTGAGGAGTACACTTCCACAAACAGCACTGGTTCATAAAGCGGTTTCTGCTCTGAGGACTATGTCAGTGCAAATGTCTTTCTCAATGCTGTGTGTGGCTCGGGTGTGCTCTACATCTGTATTACTGGTGCTAGAAAGAATATCGGGGGGTGGGGAGAGGGGAGGAGTGATGTCTGGTACCAGAGCCATACTGCACCACAGTCAGCTCCTTTCTCCGCATCTTTGATGCTAGGTGTGACTTGCCTTCTAACATCTTCCTGTGTTCCTCTTTATGAGAGAGCAGAGCTCCTTCCCCACCATTCAGGGTGGCATCTTTCAGCACTGTTTCAACCTCTGAGGTGTCATGTTTGATGTTGGGCCTGCTGACAGGCTTCAGTGCCAGACATGGTACTAGTGCTGATGTTGATGCCAGGCCTGGCTTTGGCACCACTTTCTCTGCTGAGGTCTTCAGCGTCATCTGCCTGTCAGTTAGATGTAGGCTTGACCATTAAAGGGATCTTCAAATTCAGCTCTTCTGTGTGTGACGGCACTTTCACACATTGCTCCGGAATATGAAGCTTCAGCCTTGCGTTCCTTGATTTGTGAGTTCTTTCAGAGAAGGAGAGGCAGACTGAGCACCTGCTTAGACTGCAAGACTTTCCCAAGTAGAACACACATCTGCTGGGCCAAACTTTCAGAGGAATTAGACCGTCACAGGATGGACCAGGCTTGAAGACTGTGGGGTTTGAGTCCACTTTGCCAAGTTACTGTCCAGTGGGAGTCAGGGAGTGTGCATTCACACGTGAAGGTGTGGGGAAAGGGGCTGCAAGCAGCTTTCTATTTGACGAGCACTGAAAACAGACTAGCATAAGAAAATAAAGAATGAAGATGGTTCTGAAGAATCTCAGAAGATCTAATGGAGTGTTTTGAGAAGTCTAGCAGGTTGAACACTTGTTGCCAGAGGTGGCAATAGGTAATTGAAGGAGGGTCGCAGACACCTCACCTTTTATGCCCTCATACAGGAACATGAGGAGCCACAGAGTGTATGTGCAACCCTGAGGGACATGGATATTCAGAAAAATCCAGTCTAACATGCAGAGATTCATGCACACCTAGAGCGGGATCCACACCGACACATACTTGAAAAATGAATGCTATACACTGTTGGAAAGCTTGGGACTTTTGCTTTCCAGTTATTTATTTCTAATTCTATTTGTTCATAATGTGTTTGACCTGAACAGTCACCAACTCCTAAAACCAACAGTGCTTTTTTGGCACTGATCCAGGACATGATAGTATATTGCAGAGCTTGGTCCACTGTAATTTTTTATATTAAATATTAAAAAATTAAAATAAATGAATAACGGTATTCATTTCACAGTACAGCAACACTTTGCACTCCATCTGAACTTCTGGCTTAGAAGTGTTATTACTGAATCCTATTTGAGGATCTATCCTGAGTTACACAAGTGACTGTCTAAGTCAAATAGTTTCATCTTGCTTTCTTCCACATCTTTCTGGATTAAAATTCTAGCTGTTCTAAGTGTTTACAAATCCTGTACACTTTATTTTACACTACAGTAAGCCTTAACAGAACTTGAAAGACAAAACAAGACTACAGGGAAATATGAAAACTGAGTTAATGGACGTAGGTAACTGAATGGCTCGAAAATTGCAAACTATAGAAGTTTCTCTTCCAAATATATTTCTCGGTTAAAGGTATTTGGCAGTATTTACAATTTATCAAACTGGTTTGAGAAGAAAAATAAAAGATTAACAACTCAAACAGGTTTTCTGTAATCCAGAAAGTAAATTGGAAATTTGACCATCTGCTACACAATATACAGAAGAGAACAAAAGCTTTACCTTCCATCTGTTTCCACATTCATTACAGACAACAAATGTTGTCATAGGTTCATCAGCACTGCGGGTTTGAACCTACAGCAAAGGGAATGGGGAGGAAAGAGAAAGGAAAGAAAAGTGTTATCACCATGATCCTGGTCAATTATGTCACTTCTGTTCAATGTAAAGTTACTCAATGCTAAAATAAAATCCGTATATCCTAAATAAAATTACCACAAGAGCTATCCAAATATGTGATTTTAAAAGTTACTATATTTGAAATCCATTGTATAAGAGTGCTTCAACATTCCATTTTAAGTGTCTTTATACAGATTAAAAATGCAGATTCTCAACCCCACAACCTACTCCAGCCCACAAAATGGTTACACCCTCACAGGTGAAATGAAACTAGATAAATTAAAATCTAAGCACCAAGTCAATTGTGAACACATGAGAGTACAAACTAGGCAAACAGCTAACAAATTGGAATTACCAGATTTTTTACAAAATAATCATGACTATTTCATTTCGTGTATACAGAAAAAAGGTAGTAAAACTTTTTTGTGCCAAACACATCCATAGGGAACCCCTTTTGTTTGGCTGATTTAAGTACTAAAAGTATCCATTTCAATAATGAAGATCAATGTAGAACTGTGCAAATATTTTTGAGTTTTGTTTTTTGTGGAAGTAACAAATGCACATTCTGCATAGATTTACATAAATATACTTATGATGAGGTGGCGTAAAAGCATAAAGACTCAGACAGATTTTTACTGCATTTGTTTACATCAAAACATTTTAGATACTAGAATCATAAACTTAGCTTATTAAGTTCAAAGCTATGCACTGCAGCATTACTGAAATCAATATGGACTTGATTTTGCAAGCTTTTTGCACACAACTCCTAATTAAATTAGTGGGAGTTGCATTGACAGGAGGCTTGTAAATAGACCCTAGTTTAATTAAGTCATAAATAATGTTAATATTCATATTAATATTCAGAGGTTTTCTACATATTACATTTGCCATTGTCACCCAAATACACAGATAGTTCAAAGACACTGAAACACTAGTTATATCAGTTAATCTCCCACACATCACAATTTTATAAATAGCTAAAAAAAGAAAGTCTAGCAAAGAATTGCTGAAATGGGGAAAAAAAATACTTGTCAGTGTTAAGAAATTTCGAACGCATCCTTGGAAAGAGTTTAATTAGTGTTGGGCTAAACTGCTGATTTCTAGGAAGAGTATTTCTAGTTACATCAAGTTGAAGGATAGAGGAAAGAGTAGCAAAGTAATAAGATGAGTATTTTCTCCATAGAAGCAGATACAAATCTATGAAATACCAACAGAAATAAGAATATTTGGAAATACAAATTCACTGTTCATAATTGGTTGTAAAAAGAGGCTTTTTTGCACCAATGTTTAACTGCTATTTATCTAAGAGGAGAATATTAATTTGCTTTAGGCTAACTGGAACCAAGAAACATTTAAAAGCCACTCAAATACTGCTATATTATAAATGACAATTTTCTTCAGCTATCAAGTTACAAGATGCTGAAACAAAAATTCTTTAAAAAAAAGAGAAAATTTCCTTAAAATTGAGATTCAACCTTGATCAAACAAAAGAGAACAACAAGAATGATTATGTACCTGTGTGTAAGTGCAATTCTTCTTTTTACATTTGCCACATGTAAACAGGTCAGTCTGGGTGCCTCCTGTCTTAGCCATCTGGTGCTCTCTGATAGCTTCTTTGGTCAGATTTTTGCGCATCTCTTTCAGCTCATCACTTGCCATCTCCTGTTATGGATAAAGAGACTGTCTACCATAACATTCTCAATTTGCTGTTGGGTCATCTCTTCTTACAGTTTTGATACACTACTGCTAGTATGACTACTGTATATATCAGCCTAGAAAAGTTCATTTTTAAAATGTATACAATCGTATTGAAATAGGGTTTTGTTTTTAAATCCAGGAATATCTATCCTATCAAGCAACAAAATCATTCTATAACTCTTGGATCTTTTATCTTTGCTAAATTCAAACTGAATAAGCTTCAACTTTAGTTATCACAAATTCCACTAAGTTGGCCAAATATGCTACCTAAAGTTAAAACATTTACTCCTTTATACTGTTGGTGAAATGGCAGAAGTTACATAACCACCAAACTTGCAAAAATGTTTGCATTCAAAACATGTCTGACCAGTGACTATCAGAAAGGCTAAGTGAAGACACTAGTTAGTGTAGGGGTAAAGAAGAAAAGGCAGTAGAGAAAGGTCCCCATGAATGAAACCATGTGCAATTTTCTGGTTGTGCAAAATTTAAATTCACTGTTTTTGTTTTTGCATAACCAAAAGTTTATTTCCACCATGAAACACTCACAGTGCAAACAGTTTGCACAGCTGTCCTCTCTTAACAAGAAATGAATATCTGCATAATTCTAATTTAACCTTATAACATAGTATTGTTTGATAATGAGAACTGAAACCTACTGCCTCTAGTTCATGATTCAAATTTAGCTTAGTATTGTAATGATCAAAAATTATCTGATGCTTGTTCATTGGCCTAGGAGATGAGAATTTACACTAAATTTATCAACATTTAAAACTGCATCCAAAACTCATGCATTCTTGTTATAGATAGAATGGGTATGGAGAATGAGTTTCCCATCGAAGGATTTCTCCCAGAGTGGCCACTCCAAATTAAGATTGAGGCCATTTTCTCCAATGCCTGTGCTGTAACTCTCCTGTGGATAAACACAAACTTCAGTCTTCATTGCTGACTATCCAGCACGCCTCATGTTAAAAAATCTGGAATTCTGAAGTGCTTTATCCAAGCTTCTCCATCATTCAAGGTGTAGTTACTAAGCTGAGAATAACATGTAAAGATTTTAGTCTAAAACCAAAAACATTTAAGTCAATAACCAAGTGACTGGCCTCCATGGTAACTTGTTACACAAAACAGTGTAGAATTACAGTTAGTAGCTTTCATATCTAACTTCTGTTAATTTTTTTAAAGCCTTTTCAGGGTTCCAGACACCAGATAGGGTTTTTAAACTGTAACAGCCTAAGTGAGGCAGCTCTCTCCATGAAAGCTCTCTTCAGATATTGCACAACAGGGCTTCAAAATCAGTTTTAATTATGTATGTTCCTATTCTATACAAACTGCCCTTTATATAAAGCATTTTGTAAAATAATAAGTCTAAAATTTCACACTTGTTAGTTCAAGCTTTAAAAGATGAGGTGTTAAAATTTTTAAGCGTGTAATTTATAGCCAGTTTCTTTAAAAATATTCAACTTTCGATACCTGTTAATTGTTTTCACTTCAGTTTACTTGGTCAGTTGGGTGCTCCATACTTAATGTTTTGTATGTAGGAATTAGCATTCCCAATTTTTCCCACTGTCTCAGTATCTGCATGAGATTTAGCAGTTCAACTAACACTGCTCCAGATTAAATACCTATCTCCTCTATGTCAGTTCTCTTTTAAGTGGCTAAATATCTGTACTCAAAATCTTTTTAGTCTGAAATGAATTTAAAATCCAAATAATGATTGACCCTGAAGCACAACTTTTATATAAATACAACAATCACAACAAAATACAACCCCACAGAATCAAAATGCCATCTGATTCTCCTTATACAAATGTAGTGGTCTGCCACCCTCAGTTTACTTATCTATATGCGCAGACCATTTTTCTCTTGAAGAACAAAGCTCACCATTACTTATAACCTGTATGAATAGCTTAGCTTCTGTTCTAGTTCTAATCTTTTTTTTTCTTTGCCTGTTTGAGCACAATAAGAATTTAAAAATGCCGACACAATTACAAAGCACATCTAAGCTCTTATTAATTCTGTTTCTGTTTTTATCGTAACCTCTAAATTTATGTAATCAACTTAATTGTTGCGATCTCTATAGAAACTACACAAAGGCACTGACCCTAGGAAATTTCATTTCACGTTCCTCAGGCACAAGTCCCATATTCTCCTCTCCAATTATTTTCATATTGACTTCCTAAAACCACTTTGGAGCATCAACATTTTTCCTAAAGCCCTGTGCTATATAACTCAAATATTTTAAGACAGCATAAATAGTTGCATCAACTTCGATGGTCATTTCCCTGAATCTTACTCAAAAAGACACAAAATAGGGCGGCTAAGTAGGATTGTTTAAGCTACTGCACTTAGCAATTATTAGACTGGACAGAGTACACTTTGCTTTGTGTGAGTTTTCAGTCAAATTTCCAATGCAAGTTTCCCGTTTTAAGCCTTTCAGTATCAAAAGTTAACTTGGGAAGTTAGCTAGAGAGGTTCTGTCCTTCATATTAACAATTCTGCAGTAAATTCCACTTTTACCAAGTTTTAACTTTCTTCTTGGGTGGTAACCCATCCCAATTCCTTTTTCTAATAAGATTTTTAGTGTTTCGTCAAATACAAGTACTAATTTAGTCAGTTTTAAAACTTTTCCCTAAATATTGTGCCAGTGACATTTTAGTGATCTGTACGTCCTGCGTTCCTCTTTCTTTGTAGAGAAACACACATCATCTAGTCAAGTTTCTTACAAAGGCATTTTTAAAAAACAATGTTTAAAAACAATCAGTGCTTAATCCTTGTTTTAAATATCCATTGTTATAGTTTAAATTTAGTTTGCTTTTCTTTAATAGTAGGATCTCACTTTATTATCTTAATTAGTCCATTTACCTAGCTTACTCTTTCCCTATTAATTTGTCTTTTTGTTAAAAAAAATTAATATACTTGGGAACTACAAAGTGTTTGCAGTGAGATAAACTAACCACAAATTTTAAAATTAACAGAAATTTTAAACAGTACTAAAAATAGCTCCAAAGGGTCTCACGGCCACAAAGAAAGGAGACTGACCTGTAAAAATCAGGATGATATATCTACCTTAGAAGTAGTCAAAATGTTGAAGCTAGCACTTGCCAAATACAAAGGCGGTACTGTTTAATGATGATGATGACGACACAACGCACCCAAAAGGGGCACAAGTTGGTAGCCTGGGGTCACTGGCAGAACCCCAGTCCACCTCCCCTAATTTGAAGGTTGTTGCTGGTACAGGCTGCATTTTTTTTTTTTTTTTTTAAATGCAGTACATTTTATTTCTCAGCTTTCTCCCTGAAGCACCCTCAGGGACATTCTACCTGCTTCTTGCCTTATTCAGGCATCACAACTTTTGGAACTACCCCACTATCTCTATGAATCTTCAAGCCATTATACTGCTGATAACTGTGGTTTGTCTTAAGTGCCTATACTTATGAGAGTGTGAAGATAAAGTTTAAGAATGTTGATGGTTTGTATAGTTAAGTCAAATAGAGTAACAAAAGTTAGAAGATCTAATATTTACTTACCTCTGCTGTCATTTTGGCAAACCTGTCAGGAGGTATGTTCCCACATAATACATTTTTTCTTAGATTAGGGTTCTTTGTGTCCTTGAGATTTGCTATTCTACTTCGTACCCTATTTTTGTATTTCATGTCCGTGTTTTTCAATTCTTGATATATAGGTGCTTAGGACTTAAGGAACACATCTTCAACAAGTAATACGCAGAACACAATATAGTACTTCATTGCTTTGCAAACGTTTACCCAGGTTTACACAGGATTAGATTTTTATCAGTAAGTGTCAGTAAACGTCAATTTTACCATATACAGACAGACAGACGAAAAATATTTCCATCAATATTAACAGAAATTTAAGATCAGCACAGTGATAAAAAATGCTGCTTGAGACTTTATTAGTTTTATTTAAAGATATTTACTTTGTATATTTTAACATGTGATGTTGATCATTTGTATTTTAATTGCTATAAAACTCAAGTTTGAATCTTTATGTCTACAGTCATTAAATAATTGTCTGACCTTCCCCAATTTCCCACAACTGTGAAAATTTAAGTAGATAAAAATACCTACAAGCAAACATCTGTACTATCTACCAAAATTTTTAAGAAATAGAAATAAAATTCTGCTAAACCTACTCTTTACATAGTTGATCAGTACCTTTCTTAGCAATGGCTGCCAGTGCTTGTATTACATGATTTTCTCAATTTTTTCTGCTCAACACGTGGCAATTAAGTAATGGAACTGCAGATCTCTCAAGATCTCTTTTTGACTTGTGGAAGCCTCCCACAAGAGCACAACAGGCATCTTTAATTCATTCTGCTGAGGAACGGATTAGTTTCCAAAATAACGCAGTGTTGATATCTGAGCATCAATAATACCTAAATCAAATTTCCAATGAAAAATGAAGCTTCCAAAGTTTTCAACATAGCTACCCGATGTCTTTACAGAAGACACTCTCACATTTTATACTAAATGTACGCTGGCTGGGTAGCATCAGGAAGCTCGCATTGTTACTACCTATATAGCAATGGTCCCCAACCTTTCTTGTGGGAATAGCATATTGCTATTCCCAGAAGACTGTGGCGGGCGCCAGACACCCCACCACCGAAATGCAGTAGCGGGAAGAAGTGTCGCTGCCGAAATGCCGCCGAGAAACAGCAACGCTTCTCAGCAGCATTTCGGCGGCGGGGCACCCTGCGGGCACAGAAAAATGCCCCAGCGGGCGCCATGTCGCCTGTGGGCACAGCACTGGGGACCCCTGCTATATAGTATTTGGTCTATTGCTAAGTAATAGATGATGTCTGTTGCCAGTTTGGCTCCTTTGAAAACACTAAATTTACTTTAAAATGAAGTTGGGGTGGGTGGGTGGAGGAAAGAGTCCTGATTTGTGTAAGCATTAACCACATTAGACTTAAAAACAAAACAACAAAAACTACGCACTTAAAGAAAAAGAAGATTAAGCATTTTGAGAGTCACAATTTTTTTTGGCATTAAGATTCATCCAAGATTATAGGAACACAATCACAACACCTAGCTCTTATATAGCACTTATCAGTAGATTTCAAAGCTAAGGCATAGAGAGAAGTAGCTTGCCCAAGGTCATCCAGCAAGTCAGATGTGGGAGGACTAGAACCCAGTTCTGCCAAGAACCTGTCCAGAGCTTTATCTGCTAGGCCACACTTTCTCTAGAGTTTCACCACCGGTCACTTCAGTAAGATATCTATGATAGCTGCTGCTAGCAGCAGCAACCTTGGAACTATAACTTAAGTAAAAAGACTTCTGTATGTAATTTAATGGTCATAAATTGTGAGAATCGCTTCTCACACTAAAAACTTTCACATGGCTGTACTGAACAAAATGAGTACTTTCCTACTGAATAAAAATCAATGTTCATTATATAGACCAAACCATTTTTTTTAAACAAACAGCAATATAAATCCATCAGCAAATACTAATTCTAGAGCACTTAGATATATCACAAAGGATATCTTCTTCAATCTGAGATCCCAGCTCTTCCTCATCAGCACCAATAGCAATGTAGTCATCTGAGCAAAAGAGAAGTTTGATTATTAAAATTAAGTGGACATCAGATTTCCTTAGCAGCTCAAGTACCCATTGGGAATCCTGGAAAGCGTAAGTTATGCCACAACCATAGTATGCATTTTCAGAAAAAATAGTGCACTATATACTTTTATGGTAGCAAAACCCTGTTAGCTCATTATTTTGCGGAGAACACAAAAGGTAAAGAAGACAAGATTGGTAGAAAATCAATGGCCCAAAACAGGGGTCGGCAACCGATGGCACACGAGCCGATTTTTAATGGCACGCTGCTGCCTGCCAGGTCCCAGGCACTGGCCCCACTCAGCCCACTGCCGGTCTGGGGTTCTGGCTGCCGGCCCCTTGCCAGCCGGGATCCCGGCCGCAGGCCCCACTCAGCCTGCTGCCGACCTAGGTGAAAGGAACCCCAGGCTGGCAGCGGGCTGAGCAGGCGCTGGCACAAGATCAGCATTTTAATTTAATTTTAAATGAAGTTTCTTAAACATTTTGAAAACCTTGTTTACTTTACATATGACAATAGTTTAGTTATATAATATATAGACTTATAGAGAGAGATCTTCTAAAAAACGTTAAAATGTATTACTGGCACGGAAAACCTTAAATTAAAGTGAATAAATGAAGACTTGGCACACCATTTCTGAAAGGTTGCCGACCCTTGGCCTAAAATCTTATTTAATCAGGAGCTAAACTGTAGATGTAGGTAAAGTACAAAGAGCTTTTGTGTTATCAGTTAAGTCTTAAAGATTCTACTCAGTTTGACAACTGCCAATCTCTGCTCTGAAAGAAAAGACTGAATATCACTTCAACATCTGTGATAAAATTCACTTTCAGGATAGCGTGGGTACATTCAGTTAGTGTTAGATGACAGCAGAATCAGTAATTAAGTTGTAGAAAGGAGCTTAATGGACATTACAAATATAAGGAAAGCAGACAAACTGAAGTGTAATAAAACAGGAAAGTTAAAGTGGTAAATAAAATAGGTAAAATACTTGAACTCTAAAGACAGCATGAAAAGTTTGACCTGAAATGCTCAATCTTAGACATCTCTGAGTAGAGATTTTGGAGAGAAAAAGTAAAAAAAAACATTTACTTTCTAATTTAACATTTCCTTCCAAATTTGACAGAGGACAGGCTAGACAGTGCAAGCACACTATCAACATTTTTCACCTTCCTTCCCCTCACCTTCATTTGCATTTTAAAAAGCTCAATGAACACCATCAACTAGAAATTAAGTCAACTTCATAAAATAAGTAAAAAAATAGTTTCAGGTACCACATCTACCAAATGCCCATGTCAATTTTTTTTTCAATCGCATATTTCTACTAAAAAAAAAAAATTCTCCCCTTTTGCTGTGTAAAAGGCCAACAAAAACAGCAGAACATGACTGATTACTGATGGGAAAAAACAGTGTAAATGCCTACACTCAAAATGCTCTCAAAATGCACAACGTAAGAAAACTGAAGAGAAGAAATAACTCACTAGTCTGTTCGTGTAGCAATAATTTTAGGTAAGTTTCCAAAGACAAGTGTGATTTAAATTGACATTGCATAAAATTTGCAAAGTTACCTAAGTGATTTAGGAGACTAAATTACATTTACCCAAGCATTTAAGTCAGTTAGGCATCTTAACTTTCATTAACTGCCAGCTGGACTTAGACAAGGAGTAATGTCTTTCGTAAGTGTCTAACTGCTTCTGGCAGCTCTCTGCAAGTGAGTCTGTATAAAAAGTGGATGACTCAGTATTTAGAAAGTGAGCCCCACTATGGGAGAGATAGTGTTAACCTGAGGGCAGGACTTGGACCTACATATAACACTGCTTTTGGGCTCAAAGAAAAGGGGACCCAGGCTCCATTTTATGAAGGGAGAGAGAAAGTAGCAGGGAGGATCCACGCTGCCTGTATGTACATTGCTTTGAGCACCCTGATCTTTTTGTACATATTCTCAATATTATCCCATTTGCTATTTTCACTCACTTACACTTTGTAACAAACTTCATACAAAAACTGTGTCATGCTCAAAAGTCCCTACAAAAATTTTTTTTAAATTGCCCTTTTCACTACACAAGCCAGTTTGAACCAAAGAGAAGGTTAATAATGAACAGATTTGGTTCCCACTGATAAGGGACTATGTACATTTCTGGAATAAGTTTTGATTTAGTTTAAAACAGAGTTAAATATATATAATTTGGCCAAAGGATAGCTTCAGAAGGATGGGAGCATGAAACTGTACAGTCATTTGAAGGGTATAAACAAGAGCAGTAATAGGAGAAGCTTTTTTGTACATGGAAATGTACAGATTAATGTGCACGAAATGTATAGGTTATCTCTGTATTTTGAAAATAAAAAATAAAAAGGCGCAATAGGATGAGGTTCAGGGTAAATGTAGGAACAGCAGGAAAACAAAAGCCTTGACAGAGAGATCTACTAGATTACAGAATAATCTCCCAAAGGAAATAGTGAAAATCTTATTTTTCAGTATAAAACACAAAGGTGTAAGAAAACTCCTGGCACTTGAAAACAAGATGGAATAGATCATTTCATAGGTCTTGTCCACCTCCAAATATTATAACTCTCAAAAGACATAGAAGTTAACACCTGAAACTGGACGAGAATAGAATACGGCTGTCATAAATTGGATACTTAAAGAATCTGACATATTTAAAATTATCAACACACCAGTGCCAGATGTACTGTAACAAAATTAAGCTGCAACTGAAATGGAAACGGAGCTTCTGGCTACCAGAATTTGAAAGGTCACAGGACCCCAAGGGACAATGTGGTACCCCCCAAAAAAACAAACACTGAAACGAAACCTTTCTTGGAAACAGATTAAATTGATGATACCAAGGAGGTAATGGCTAGCATGTACCATGAAGAGGATTCTCTGCTATTGGAAAGTAGTTGTCAGATGGGCTGGAGCATGAAATGCACCTCATCATGTTTCCAGGTTGCCAGGATTACTGGGTTATGCTAATCTGGATGAACCTATACCTGACTATCTGGCCTGGTTGTATAGAATTCAGACTGGTCTGACAACCAGTGCTAGGATACATGGGAAGAAGAAACAGAACAAAATCCAATACCGTAAATAAGTTCTACAAAGCTCACCTCCTGTTTTGAGAGCAGCAGCCAACATTTCTCTACATTTCACTCGTACAGAATCTGAAGTACTTGGAGCCCGAGGAAAAGAAGGGATGAAGGAATCTGACGAAGCATTAGCCTCCTCTTTCCTGATGCTGGAGTTGCTACTGGAACTACCGAAGTAGGTGAAAACAGAAAAGTGGTATGAAATGTCTTTTTTCCAACATGTTTCACCAAAGATCAAAACAAACTTTTTGTTTGATCTTTACATCTCATTAACAATATTCCCATAACAGAACAAAGATAACATTTATGCAATTATTTAGAGCTACAGATATTGTTAATCTTCAGTAAAAAGGATCTTTGAAATACTTGCTTCTATGTGACATGGGGTACAACAAGAATTTTACTAAAGAGGAGGGCCCAGATCCAGTGATCCTCTGGGCTCCCTTGTGCTGTAGTAGCCACTCCAGCCCCTCCAGGTCCCACTTACGCCTCCAGCCCCCAAACATATACAGTTTACAAGGAATGACATGTGGGGGCAGAAACACAGATCAGTCCCGCACAATATTTGCATTGTAAGGGCACTAGCCCCCACCACGATGTTTTCCCCCGCCCCAAAGTGGTGGCCCCTCAGCATGTCCAAGTCCAGCAAAGCATAAGGAGTGGCCATAGTCTATAGGGTATGGAGTCTCCCCCAAGGCCCCAAGCCCAGCTACAGCCCAACTTGGGGTGCCAAGGGAGACCCTTGGTGAGGTGGTATGTCAATGCAATGGTGCCCCTCCTGGCCAAGCAGAGTGTGGTCACTGGCTCACTCAGCTCAGCGGGACTGTCAGTCTATTCCTGGTACTCCAGAATCTGGAAAATCCTCTCTGATCTCAGGTCCGTCAAGTGATTGGTAGGGGAACCCTGGCCCACCCACTTAACTGGGTTCCAGCTCAGGGCCCTCAAGATAGACGAGCAAGATCAAAGTTCGCCAACTCTGTCAGTGCCCTGAGCTGCTTCCTACCTTCTCCTGGGCCTCTGCAGGCTCTTCAGTCTGTTGGTCCGTTCATCCCTTTTTGGGGTGTTGTCCTTGGGCAGCTCTTTAGCACTTTACTAACAGGCGTTCCTTTCTCCAGCCTGTTCACTCTCCGGGTAGCTGCCACTCCCCTCTACTTCTCAGCCCTTTTATCCTCCCAGCTGCTGTGAGGATGCCATCAGCAGCAGCCGGCAATGCCTGTATTACCCCTTTTGCTGCTGGGCCAAGGTGGGGTACATACACCCCACGACACCCTGCTCCACACTAACAGCAAAGAATCTGCTGAATCTGTTAGCACATTCTGGTTTTGTGGGAGGTAGACTCCCAACAGGGTAATCTGATGGCTGATGCCATCAGTTCCACAAACTGACTGCTTCTGCACACAAGGGGAAGGATCTCGCTCCTCCCTGTCTATTGATGCAAAAGACAGTTTTGATGTTGTCCGACATTACGAGGGCATAGTGACTTTGAATGAATGGGAGAAAGGCTTCGCAAGCCCTTCAAACTGCTTACGGCTCTAGAAAATTAATGTGCATCCTGGATTCTTGTTATATCCAGGTGCCTTGTACTGTATGGTTGTCCACATGGGCTCCTCAACCCAACAGGGATGCGTTGGTAACAATCACCCTGTCCGGTACATAGGCAAGGAAGGGAATGCTCACACATACCTGGCAGGGATTCTTCCACCATAACAGGGACAATATCACTTTGATGGGAACAGTCACTATGATGCTTAAGGACTGTAAATATGGAGAGTATATGATTTGAAGCCATGCTTATAGGCAACAAAGGTGGAGCCTTGCAAATGACATGACATAAGTACATGAGGCCACATGGCCTCCGAGAGAGACAGAGGTCTTGACAGGCACTTGGGGGTTGCTTATGACCTGTTCTATGATATTGTTCATAGCTTGAAACCTGTCCCTCTGCAGGGAAGCCCTTGCCATGACTGAATTTAACAATGCCTCCAGTGAAGTCTAAAGTCTGCATAAGGGTGAGGATGGATTTTTCAGCATTTATACTGATTCCCAAAGAGGAGAGAAGTTGCAGCATTGTCAAAGTTGACACATGGTCCTCTTAGTGTAACCTGGTGACAAGGAGCCAATCGTTGACATAGGGGAAGACTGTGAAACCACAACATTGCACAATTATATGACCTGATACTACAGAGCACACCTTGGTAAAAACACTGGAGATGGTAAGAGCAATACCAAAAGTGAACATTCTTTATTGAAAATAGTCAGAGCCCAGGAATCTGAGAAAGCGTCTGTGAGCAGGGTGGATGCCCAGGTGAAAGCAGGTGTCCATGTTGAGAGCTGTAAACCACATACCCTTTTTCAGGGATGGAATTATAGTTACCAACATGGCCATGTGAAACTTGAGTTTGCGAATAAAAAAGTTCAGATGGCAGAAGTCGAGAATGGGTCTCCAACAGCCCTTTTTAGGTACTAGGAAGTATGTCAAGTAAAAACTTCTCCCTTGGTACTGAAGAGGAACCTGTTCTGTTGCTCCCCACTGTAAGAGGGATTTCACTTCTTCTTTGAAAATGTTCTCATGAGAGTGGCCCCTAAGAGGGTGCTGGGGAAGCAAGTAAGGATGCAAACTCTGTTGAATAACTAGAATGGATGACATTCTGAACCCATTTGTCCATTGTTTTTGCACTCCAGGTGTTCAAAAACGGTGCTAGATGACCCTCAAAGGGTGCATGGGGTTCGGGAGGCATTAGACTTAAGATATGTCGACACTGCAATGAAAAACCCACATCTGGCCTGTGCCAGCTGACCCAGGCTCACAGGGCTCAGGATGCAGGGCTGTTTCAGTGCAGTGTAGACTTCTAGGCTTGAAGTCTACACTGCAATGAAACGACCCCGCAGCCCAAGCTGACTGACATGGGCCAGCTGTGAGCATCCAGTTGCTACGTAGACATACCCTTAGTGGTTTGTAGCTCTCAAGTTCCTGTCATCAGGTGATGAAGTGGAGGTTGGTGCCAAGCTGGTCAAAGGTTCTCCGACCAGGAAGGTGTGTTGTGGAAGAGGGAACAACAGTTCATTGCACAGCTCAGAATGTACCGATGGGAAGAAAGCCACGTCTGGTTTCAACAGCAGTACCAACTATGCTATTCGAAGTCAAAGCCCAAAGATGGAATGGGGGAGACACTTCTCCCAAAGGCCAGTTCCCCTAGCCGAGTTATATATTCTCTCAAGGAAGGACTTGATGGAGACTGAGACTGGAAAGCAAAGATATCCGCAGGAGGAGCACAGATCTCAACTCCTTCCCAAGCAAGAGGGGTCTTGTCCGCCCAAACCAAAAGAGTCGCAGTAAAGAATCTACGCCACAGCAGTTGAAGGCAAAGACAGTACCGAAGGTAACCAGTGCTCTCAGTGACCAGTTTTTGTCGGTCAGGTGCACCACAGGATTGTGTTTGGGACTACCAGAGGCCCCAGTGCCAGCAGATCACAATCTGGTGCTGATGGAGCCCTCGACTTGTCACATGCCCCTGAGACTTAAGATGTTTTAAGTTCTCTTGGGTTGAAGCTTTTAGACTTGCCTGGTTTAGGCAGGGCTATATCAGATGTCTTCAAAGTGGATTTAGAGGACGACAACCTCATGCTTATGAGAATGCTCCTTGCTCTCCTGACAAGGCCCACTGACCTATCTGTAGGGCAGGAAACTTCTTCACTCTTGAATCGGGCCTTGTGGCAGGAGGCGCACTGCTTGCTGAGTAAGGCTGATCTATGGAGCAGAGGTTCCCTGGGCCCAGGTCCAATTGCGGTCTCATAGCTCTTCCATTAGGTGCTTCCTAAGTTCCCACCCTTCCCAGGTATGGTGGGGGGACAAAGGGCAGGTATTGCGCTGTCATAAATATAAAGGGAAGGGTAAACACCTTTAAAATCCCTCCTGGCCAGAGGAAGAATCCTTTCACCTGTAAAGGGTTAAGAAGCTAGGATAACCTCGCTGGAACCTGACCAAAATGACCAATGAGGAGACAAGATACTTTCAAAAGCTGGGGGGGAGAGAGAAACAAAGCATCTCTGTCTGTCTGTGTGATGCTTTTGCCAGGGACAGAACAGGAATGGAGTCTTAGAACTTAGTAAGTAATCTAGCTAGATATGCGTTAGATTTTGATTTCTTTAAATGGCTGAGGAAATAAGCTGTGCTGAATGGGATGGATATTCCTGTCTTTGTGTCTTTTTGTAACTTAAGGTTTTGCCTAGAGGGATCCTCTATGTTTTGAATCTAATTACCCTGTAAGGTATTTACCATCCTGATTTTACAGAGGTGATTCTTTTTTACCTTTTCTTCTATTAAAATTCTTCTTGTAAGAAACTGAATGCTTCTTTTCATTGTTCTTAAGATCCAAGGGTTTGGGTCTCTGGTCACCTATGCAAATTGGTGAGGATTTTTATCAAAGCTTCTCCAGGAAGGGGGGTGCAAGGTTTTGGTGAGGATTTTGGGGGGAAAGACGTTTCCAAACGGCTCTTTCCCAATAATAAACCTGGTTAGACATTTGGTGGTGGCAGCGGAAGTCCAAGGGCAAAAGGTAAAATAGTTTGTACCTTGGGGAAGTTTTAACCTAAGCTGGTAAAAGTAAGCTTAGGAGGTTTTCATGCAGGTCCCCACAACTGTACCCTAGAGTTCAGAGTGGGGAAGGAACCTTGACATGCACCTTGCTACAATGTGGGCTTTCCCCGAGATAGTATAAGCAGCATAGGTGGTTATCACTGACCAAGAAGGAATGCAGGCAGGAACCACAAACTTTGAAGCCCGGAGTCCAGGGCATAATCCAATACCCAAACAGGGTGTGCACTTTCACAATAAAGAGACTGCACTACAGTACTTGTATGACATGAATTGAAAAATACTATTTCTTTTTATCATTTTTACAGTGCAAATATTTGTAATAAAAAAAATATAAAGTGAGCACTGTTCACTTTGTATTCTGTGTTGGAACAGAAATCAATATATTTGAAAATGTAGAAAACATCCAAAAATATTTAAATAAATGGTATTCTATTATTGTTGAAACAGTGCGATTAACAGCACGATTAATTGTGCAATTAATTTTTTTAATAGCTTATCAGCCCTAGTTTCTACCTAAAATGTAAGATACTGATTAAAAAAGGCTGGTTATTGTTAAGACTCCTAGTATTGTAGAGTAAGAATGTTAAATAGATGACATCAGCAGGCAGGATGGATATTTTGACTACCTGACCCATATTGTGGCTAATCACCTGCCATTTTTTCATATTATTAACAGCAGAATTGACTTACCTTCATCCCCACCACAAAAGACCTGGATGACTATTCTGATCTACACTGATTGTCCAACCTTGATGACAGTGCAGGCATCACCACTTTTTAGACATTGATTACGTGTTTGATATAAGAACATGGCAGACCTCCCTAGTCCCAGAGATACTTGTACAAAAATTAAATATTTAGGAAAGCATCTATGAAGAAACTGATTCTTCACATTAATAATTCATCTGTTGTGCTAGTTCATTTTATATTACACACACACAGACAGGTTCAAATACCTTTCTTCTCTTGCTTCAGGACTGTTTTGTGATGAAGATGCAGGTTCCTTTTTCTTGTCTTCAGAGTCTTTATCAGTTGACGGTCCATCTGGAAATGTACAAACCATGAAATAAACATTGCCTCTTATAGGACAGAAATAGCAGCCAAGTATAAGTTAAATGCAATGTAGTTTATTTCCATAAGATGGAATTTGAGTGTGCTCAATACCTGTGAAAATCAAGCCACTTATTGAGGCATCTAAGTTTGAAAACTCTGTCCTGATGATTAGAATGAAACTACCACATATTCAGTGCTTTTTTTTTTTTTTAAAGCACCATACAGTTCTATAGTTAAGTCCACACAGACAAGACCAAACAAAAAACTAGGGGATCAAAGGTTTAAGAGACTATCAAATAAAAAAATGAATTAACTTAGTTAAAACTCATCACCGTGAATGAAGACAACAGAAATGAAAACATAAAATTATCCAAATACAATAGATGCTGCATTAAAATAGAAGAAGTGGTATTTTAAAAGTCCTGAAGATTAAAATAAAAGAAAACCCACAATATATATTTATTTATCAAGAAAACTAAAACCATAAAAAGTTGAAAACTAGTCATTATTCAAGCACACTGTTAAAACACAACATTTGCATTTCTCATATAGAAGGAAAACTGACCCTTCCCCTTTTTTATGTATGAAGAGATAAGTAATCACCATAGCAACTAAAGAACACTTATCTGATGTATAAACAGGAAATATTCTATATATTCAGACAACCTCACCCATTCTTACATTCTCTACCGTCAACTGCATGAATATTTTCACCAGGAATTTTAGAGTTGTATTAGCACTTTGTCATCTTTTTCCACCAACTGGCCTACAATTTCACTGGATGAATCTCATGTTATATTGATATGGAATAAACTGCCTAGGGAAGTTGTGGAAGCTCCTTCACTGCCAGTTTTCAAGAAGAGGTTGGACAGCCACCTGTCATGGATGGTTTAGACACAACAAATCCTGCTCGTTGGCCAGGGACTAGACTAGACGACCCTTACGGTTCCTTCTAATGCTTTGGTTCTATAATATCACAGGGCATGGCTACACTTGCAGATGTAGGGCACTTTGAGTTAAACCAGCCCTCGGAGAGCGCAGTAGGAAAAGCGCTGCAGTGTGTTCACACTGTCAACTGCAAATGCAGTGGCGTAGCCACATTTGTGGCACTTGCAGCGGCATTGGGAGTGGTGCATTATGGGCAGCTATCCCACAGAGCACCTCTTCCCATTCTGGCGCTGTGGCTTGTGGGAAGGGGGTGGGAGGGTGCAGGGCATTCTGGGTCCTGTCCCAACGCCCCATGATGCATCGGTTCGCATCCCAGCAATCCCTCTGCTTCTGTGCATATTTGGCACCATCTTTCAACGTTTTTTGTGCTGCGCGCTCTGCCTTCCCTTTCAGTCTGCAGGAATGGAGCCCGAACTGCTGAGGAATATGCTGACGAGTCTCACCAGCACATCATGTTTGGAAGTTGAGTTACTCCTTAAGATCCAAACTGACAGTGAGGACTCCGACGATAGACTCAAGTAAGGCATACGACACAAGATTGCTTGTCGCGTTCACGGACATGCTCATCACCGTGGAACACTGCTTTTGGACTCTGGAAACAAGCACTGAGTGGTGGGATAGCATCGTCATGCAAGTCTGGGATGACAAGCAGTGGCTCCAGAATTTTCGGATGAGAAAAGCCACTTTCATGGGACTGTGTGATGAGCTCATCCCCACCCTGCAGCGCAAGAAAACGAGATTGAGAGCTGCCCTGACAGTGGAGAAGTGGGTGACTACTGAAATCTGGAAGTTGGCAACTCCAGACAGCTACCGATCAGTCGCTAACCAGTTTGGAGTAGGGATGTTGACGGCTGGAATTGTGTTGATGCAAGTTTGCAGGGCCATTAATCGCATTCTGCTCAGAAAAACTGTGACTCTGGGTAACGTGCATGACATTGTGGCTGGCTTTCCACAAAAGGGTTTCCCTAACTGCAGAGGGGCGATAGATGGGATGCATATTCCAATTCTGGCAGCAGCCCACCTAGCCTCCGAGTACATTAATCTGAAGGGGTATTTCTCTATGGTTCTCTAAGCGCTTGTGGATCACCGGGGGTGTTTCACGGACATTAACGCAGGCTGGCCCAGAAAGGTGCATGATGCGCGCATCTTTCGGAACACTGGCCTGTACAGGAAGCTGCAAGCCGGGACTTTTTTCCCAGAAGTCAAAATGTCCATTGTGATCCTTGGAGACCCTGCTTACCCTTTAACACCTTGGCTCATGAAACCCTACATAGGGAGCCTTGACAGCAGCAAGGAACAGTTCAACAGCAGGCTGAGCCGGTGCAGAATGACCGTGGAGTGTGCTTTTGGCCGTTTAAAGGACCGCTGGCGTTCTCTGTATGGGAAGCTGGACCTGGCCGATTGCAGCATCCCCACAGTTATATCCGCTTGCTATATCCTCTATAACACTTGTGAAGGGAAGGGTGAACGATTCACTCAGGCATGGACCTCGTCGGTTCAACACCTGGAGGTTGAATTTGAACAGCTAGAGAGCAGGGCTATTAGAGGGGCCCAGCGCGGGGCTGCAAGGATTAGGGATGCCTTGAGGGAGCAATTTGAGGCTGAAAGCCACCAATAAGGTTTGCTGCCTTGCACAGGAGTGAAGTGCAGTGGTTCCAATGTTAGTAGGAATCCATGTTTGCTACGCTTACTTGCAGTGCCTGTTGCTTTCCTGGGCTAAGGTATCTTTTACTTTATGCAATAATAAAGAATGTTTTCAAAGCCAAAAAATCCATTTATTGAAAAGAAACACAACTGCTTTGGAAACAGACAAAGCAAGGGGGTGGGGTGAGGAACGGTACAATTACAGATTTGTGTATGTCCTGTTATTATACTCAGCCTTCCTGTCTGGAGTGCTGTGCAATGAGTGCTGCACTTCAGGATGGCTATACTGCATGGTGATGGGGGTTGAGTGCAGTGGGTAAGGGTCGTAGTTTTCAGGGCTGGGTGGTGAAGCTACAGGTGTTGGAGACAGCTGGTGGCGATAAGAACCCGGCTGTTGGGGAAAGTGGGTTGGAAGTGACATGGGGGCACAGGGGAAAGAGTCTTGGGACACGGGCTGCAGGGGTGGGGCAGGCATGGTAGTGCTCTGCCTGCATGGCTATGAGCACCTGGATCGAGTCCACCTGGAGCTCCAGGATGCTTATCAGCCGATCCGTGCTTTGCTGCCGGAGCTCCGCGCTTTTGTGCCAGCAATCCGCATTCTGCTGGTGGATCCTCCTTTCACTCTCCCTCCACTCCTGCGCTTTTAGATTCTCGTTGACTGCTGCATTACTTCATGCAGCATGTCTTCTTTCCCTCTATGTAGCCTCTTCCTGAGTCTTTGCAGCCTCTCGGCCGGTGATAACACGGACGGCTGAGATCTCAAGGTTGCATCCGTAAAGGCAAAATGCAACACTTAACAGAGGCAGCATTGTTCACACCAGACAGACCAATGATTCCCCCATACTTAAGGACGAACACAGTGTACACAATAGCAGAATTTGCCTGTCCCAAAGCGAGCACACACAACCCACGGGAGCCCCAAAATGGTGAGTAAGCACAGGGTCCAGGGGGAATGATTCTTTCATGGCTGTACTGTCCTCTGGGTTTCTGTGCCTTGGGGAGAGCCAACAGTTGCAGGGGGCCCCTATACTGAACGCTGTCCCCATATTTTCCACAGGAGTTTGTCCTGGAAGATATCTCGCTGCTGAGGGCGATCTGGGAAGCAAGGGAGGGTCTTCTACTACAATGTGGCTTCTGCCCCAGGCCCATATGCAATGCCCTGTGTGCAGCAATGGTCCCCCAGCCCCTCATGGCACAGCGGCGCAGACATGTTAGCCTGACTGGGACAAGGACCACAGTGGTTCTCCCAAGAAACCGGAGCAAGCGCATTGCCCAAGTTCTGGCTGAGACCTTTGAAGAGATCACTGAGGCCAATTACCATGATGTGAGACAGCACATCAACGCCCTATTCCGCATCTAGGCATGCATGCAGCCCTAACCCTCCTCGCCCCAAGAGCCTGAACTGAACAATTTCCTTCCCAAAATAAAAGCCACTTACCGGGCACCACCTCTGGTGTTTGTCCTTCCCCAAGCACCAGCCGCTGCGACTGGCTACCTTCCTCCTGGCTTGAGAACAGCTCCTGGCTACATGCATCTAGGGATTCCGGGGTAGCTTCCTCCACCTCAGCACCCTTGCTCCCGCTTTGCTCCTCCTCCAGCCTTGTTGAACTGGGCTCTGAAGTGTCCACGGTGGTACTGACTGCAGGTGGGGTCGCCTCCAAGTATCGCGTCCAGCTCTTTGTGGAAACGGCAGGTCACAGGGGCAGCACCGGAGCGGCTGTTTGCCTCGCGGGCTTTGCGGTAGGCATTCCGCAGCTCCTTCACTTTAACCCTGCATGGCAGTGCGTCCCGGTCATGGCCCCTTTCCATCATGTCCCTTGATATCTGCCTGAAGACATCGTAATTCCTAGGCTGGAGCGCAGCTGGGACTGGACAGCTTCCTCCCTGCAAACACTGATGAGGTCCAGCACCTCGCCATTGCTCCATACTGGGGATCGGCAGGTGTGTGGAGGCATGGTGACCTGGAAAGATGCGCTGAGAGCACTCCACACCTGGCTGAGCAAACAGGAAGGGGATTTTCAAAATTCCCAGAGAATTTAAAGGGCAGGTCTGATGGTTGGTCACCTGATGGCAGGGCAGTAGAGTTCAAACTGATGACCAGAGTGGCTAGAACAGGCATTGTGGGACACTTCTGGAGGCCAATCAGAGCGCATTAACAGACCAGGGCGTCCACACTGGCGCTGCAACGCTCCAGTGGGGGCGCATCAAACGTTATTCCACTCACCGAGGTGGAGTACCAGGAGCGCTCTACCGCGGAGTCAGAGCGCTCTACGTGCCTTGCCAGTGTGGACAGGTCATGAGTTAGAGCACACTGGGCTTCTTTAATGCGCTCTAACTCACAAGGATAGCCATGCCCACAGGTTAGTGATTCACACATAATTCTCTGATACATCAGCAGC